TTTCAGTCTTAGGAGCTTGGGGAGGATGGGTCTGCCCCTGGACTTGCCCTTGATCTGTGGACAAAATGCAGTGACAGAGCCTGTGGGCTGAGGCACAGCCCTTGGACCTGGTAAATCCCCCAAGGCCATGACTTCTGCCTCAGAAGCAGGCCACCCTCCACAGGAATGACTTGGGCTCTCTTTTCTCTGACTGGGTCTCTCTACTTTGATCACCTGTCACCTCTTTCCACAACCCTTCCACCTCGCTCCTGAGTCTGCCGTGAAATTTTTATTTAAATGTTGTCAATGAAAAACCATCCTCAATGTATATTTTCTAGTTTAACCATTAGGGATGGTGTTTTAGACATCAACTTCTAGACTGTGAAGAAAGGTACTCATAAAATAGTGTCAGTGCAGTTGAGCAGATTCCTTAAATCACCATTTCTGGCTGCATTTTGTGAAGTCACAGCTTAGAGAAACAAAAGCTCCCAAATGGCTTTAAGAATGGAACCATTTTCAGATTGACAATCAGATGAATTTAAAAATATTTTCTCCCATTTACTTTTTTAACTTTCACCCTCCAAATGCAGAGATAGGAAACGTAACTTGCGTGGAAATGTACTGATGATGCTGGTGATGAGGGGGGCGCAGCTGGGATACCACCTGTCCCCAGCCCCCCAGCCCCCCACCCCCGCGAGCAGGCACACGCTCACGCAGCAGGACGCACTGGGCCCATGACATCAGGAGGCAGCCAACGAGACTGCAGCTAAAATGCCTCAATCTGCCTCAGCCCCGCCGAGCTGCTCCCCTTCCAGCCACACCTCCAGGGTTCGTTTTGCCCTTCTGACAACTCCCCACGCCTCTTCAACCCAAAGGCTGGCTTTTTCTGACATCTTCCTTCTCAACTTTGTTGCTCCAGGCTGCCTTGGTTGTTAAGATAAATAGTGTTTATGGAGTGCCTTCTATTTTCTCTGTATCTTATAAGCACTACCTCATTTAATCCTAAACAAAGCTAGGGAGAGGCAGCCAGTACCTGCATTGTATAGCTGGACACCTAAGGCTCAGAGAGGTTCCTGTTCAGCTGGTTAGGGTCACCCAGTTGTAAGTAGCAGAGCCAGGGCTCAAGCCCAGATGAAGCTGAATCCACAGCGCTTACACTCTCTTCCCATCACACCCTCTGACTTTAGGCAGTGTCACCTGACAGTGGGAAGCCTGGGTCACAGACATCACAGCCACTAAATAAGCAAGGAAGAGAATGAAACAATTTTTCTTTGCTCCCAGCTGGTGCTCCCCAGCCCATGCATTTCTTACCAGAAACGGAGTTACCCAAGTATTTATTTGTAAGAGGAACAGAGCAATACAGGAGGGAAAAGATGCCTCCAAGAACCAGAAGCTCAGGGACTCAAGGTTTTGCACTTGTAAGTTGGGTTGACCTTGGGTATAGGTATAAATCACCTAGACCCTCTGTTCTTGTTTCCTCATCTGTATAATGACAATGAACAATGCTTGCCCTTCCTTCTTCCCAAGGCTGCTATGAAGATCAATGGAGTAATAGAAATGAAAATTAGAAAATGTTCTACAAATCATGTATAAATATATTTCTTTCTATGGGTGTATTAATGCCTGAGAAAACAATATTTTAGGGTCACTGAATCCATTCCTTAACTCTGCTCTTGGGCGTAACATTCAATTTCTCTTGGCCTCAGTTTCCCCATCTGTAAAATGTGGCCATGGGGTTTGTTGAACCCTAAACGTCTTTCTAGCTCTGACATTCAGCAGGTCAGTGACTCTTCCTGACTCCTGCCATGCTTTCCACCCAGCCCTCAGTGGCCAAGAAAACGCAGAGATGAGTCTCCCTCACACAGAGCCATCTGTCCTCAACCAAGAGGAAGCTGGAGATTAAATAGTAAAGGTGCCCCAAGAATATTCAACTGCAAAAATGGTAGCATTTAGTGCTGAGAGGAGTAACAAGCTTTATCCCCTCCACAATGTTCCATCAGCGAGCGTCACGTGTCGCTTCGTGTACTGGGAATAAGACTGGCTTTTAGAAACAGCCCAGAGAGGGAGATAGCTTTAAACAAATATCTTCCCAGGTAATTATTTAATTGGAGTTGTGACATATGCCGGGAAGAAGAGTTTGACTATTTATCAGGAGATTATATAATGCGGGGGAGGGGCGGGGTCTCAGGAGGATTTCCCAAGGAGGTGGCATTTCAAACTGGTTCTTGAAGGAGCATCTGGAGTTGGCAGGGCAGGGAGGGGATGAAGAAGGGGTAGAGAATGTACTAGGCAGAAGGAACATCCAGTGCAGAGTGCTTTTAAAGAGGGAAGCTCTTGATGTATTTGAATTGCTGAAAATAAACTTATTTGGCTGGAATGCTGGTGGTAGGGGAAGAGTGGCATGACATGAACTTCGTGATACAGACAGGGACAGATCATGCAGCATCTTACAGGTCAAGATGAGGAACTGGGGGCTTTGCCCTAAGAGCACAGCGATGCCACTGGAAAGTTTTAAGCTAGAGGCTATGTTCCAGGCAATTGTCCTGAAAGATCACTGTGGAAGCAGCCAGTCTATAAGAGGAATATAGGAGTGGGTGCAGTGACACCAGCCAAGAGGCTAGTGCAACGGTCTAAGGCAAGAGAGGAAAGCGGCTGGGCCCAGGATGGTGGCCGTGAATATAGAGAAACGTGGAAGGAGTTGAGAGGTGGAATGTTTAGGACGTGGTCATTGATTGGGGTTGGGGGGGAAGAAAGGCAGGTATTTTATACACTGTACATTATAACCCACTGAACTAACTAGTACCATGAATCCCAAGTTCCAGATGAACAAAGGAAGCCTCTGAGAGGCTGAGGGGCTTGTCCAGATTAAAGAGCTAAAAAGTGAGGTTCCCAGAACTTCGGCTCTTAAGTCATAATGTTTCAGGTATGTAAAGGTTCTTGTCCCAAATGATTCATCCTAAGTGCTATCATTACTTCACAGAAAACTCAGTGAAGGTCTGATTTCATGTGTATTGAATTCCAACCACACTCCGGCGAAGGCCATATGATGAGAAGGGACTCGAGTGAGCAAGTGACATCATGAAACAAATAGAGTCACTATGCAAATGTGCGCTGTGGACTCCTTACACCATCACCTAATTATAGCTCCCGAGGAAGCGCTGTACGATACTACACTGTGCAGAGCCAATGGATGATTGTCAGGGGGCCAGACGGTCCTTTTATCTGAGCTGATATTGGAAGATAATGTGTAACCAGCTCAATGAGGTTTTTGTGGTGGGGCTTTTGGCTGATCAGGTCATAAATCTTTCTGGTCCAAGAGAAAGGCCTGCCCAGCTTGTGAGTTGAACAGGCTCTTCCCAACTCCGGAACTAGCACAATTGAAAGTATGCCGACTTTAGAGCATACTTCTCACATCCCAGAGAAAGGGAACAGAGGTCACAAAGTTCTCGTAAATATGTGTGCATCTGACGCGTAGCAAGTCATTCACATACCACTGCTCCTCTAACTGCACTGGCCCAGCATGGGTCGGCCAAGACAAACACTGATTTCTTACCAAATATTCTGGCTTTAATGACTACACTTAGGTAACTTCCCCAAAGTCCCATAATTATAAGCAGCAGAGCCTGGAAACGGAGTCTCCCTGAGCACAGGGCCATGCTGCCTTGGGTCCAGTCTGAGCCCCGGACCCTCACGTGTGCAGTGAGGACACTCTCCGTCTCCCAGCACCGCTGTGATGGTTCATACCTGCAAGGCGTCTCCCACAGGCCTCGGCCCGCCGCGAGAGCTCGACAAATGAGCTCAACTAATTCCAACAGAGCGGCAACGGTGTGCAAAAAAAATGTATCGTGGGGCTTCCTTGGTGGCGCAGTGGTTGAGAGTCCACCTGCCGATGCAGGGGATGCGGGTTCGTGCCCCGGTCCGGGAAGATCCCACATGCCGCGGAGCGGCTGGGCCCGTGCGCCATGGCTGCTGAGCCTGCGCGTCTGGAGCCTGTGCTCCGCAACGGGAGAGGCCACAACAGTGAGAGGCCCGCGTACCGCAAAAAAAAAAAAAAGTATCGTGGAATCAAAGTGAATATAAATTACACAAATGGAACACTGATTTGTCCAGAATGTGAGACTGACATTTGAGGGTCACGCATGTATCTGAGCGATTATTCACCATCAAGCCACAACCAATTTCCCAGCTCTTAAACCATTCAGTGACTGAAAGTTTACTGATCCTATTTGCTTCAATCTTCCACCCGTGTGATGCATTAATCCCGATTCCCAACGAACCTCAAGGTCTTAACTACGCTTCGCATCCTTGAAAGCGGCATGATTGTGGCAAAAGCACACAATAATGTCAGTGCTGTTTCCCACCGAGCCTGGATTTTGCCTGCATTTGGTTGACAAACATGTATTCCACTTACTGAATTAGTTTCTGCAGATATGGCACCAGAGGCTGGCTCTACAAGCAAGTGGAAGGTCTGGTCATCAGCCTCACACAGTTCACATCCTAGTGGGAAGAGAGATCTGGAAGCTCTAGTTAGGATGGGATGGAATGGGAGCTATAAAAGCAGGAAAGTCCAACTGTGGCGGGAGGAGAGGGGGAAGCTACTCCCTCTGAAGCAGAGGGAGGGGAATTCAGAAAAGCCTGCCTTTCTCTCAATTGTACCAACTCAGGAAAACCTGGAGGGAGGGCCAGTGGGTCAGCCTGTTAGCCAGTGCGGTGAGAAGTGGGTTTATCCAGGTGATCATGAAGAAGGAGAGCTGCAGAGCCGTGCAAACAGGCACCAAGTGAACCCCACCACGATTTAGTCCCACCACGATTTGGGGTAGACGGGTAGACACAGGGGGAGGCGAAGCTGACCTCTCAGGCTGACACAGGCAGCCAGGGCCTGGCCTCTTCCCCTCACCTCACGTCTCTCCCCAGTGTATCACTTTCTTTCACCCTATCCTTAGCTCCTGCCACCCAGAAAGTTTTCTCCAGATGGGCGGACTGGCCATAGCTCCCCTCCCTTATGTAACCAAATATCTTACCCTGAAGATATGCTCAGACGTCCTGGCCTCCACTCAGCCCTCTGGTTTCCAGCATGGCCTGAGCTGTTAGCCAGCCGGCCCAGTGCCCCACTGGTTTCTAATTAAAATGGAACACATGTGTCTCTAGACGCAGAACAATTTCTTGGAGGAGAAACAGCAGGTCCCTCTAAGGTTGGCCTTTAAGTCTCACGTAGATGGGCTGTTTGTGAAGGAAAGGCAAACAGGCTGGCTTTAGAAAGTACAATAGGTATTTTATTATTATTATTATTTTTTTTAAGCTGTACTGCTACCTGATGCTGACTATAAAGAATTTAGACATGTCTCTGGAATGGCATTCAATAACCGAAAAGAAAATCACATTATTTTAATATGTTGGAGCTGCAAAAATTAAAAATAATTTCCTGTTTCCCTTAAGTTATAAAAATTTACCTAATCCTCTCCAGGTTGATCAGAGTTAGCACTGTGCTATGGAAATGTAAACACTTCCAAAAATAAAAGAGCTTTTATAATTAAAAGTTAAAAACAAAATCAACACAAACGCCAAAGCCATCTGTGTTGGAATACACCCCCTGCTCCAGAGGCAAGATTGCATGGTCCAGCCCAGAGGCCACAGACTGTCACCTAAAGGCAGGGGAGACAGTCAAAGTAGTTAACAGCTATCATGGCTCAGGGCAAGGACTAGTCAGCAAATGGATGTGAGACCTTGCGATGGAGCGGGGACCTGAAGCCCTTAATGACAGATGGAACCTCTTTATAGCCAGATTGTAGGGAAGTGGGCTTGAGGGTGCTATCGGGGAATGTCCCCCCTGGAGGAAGGGGGGCACTAAGGGCACTCAGGAAAGTATTTACCAAAGAGAACAGGAAGATTTCACCAATTTAACAACTGGTTCAGGTGGACCAGTACGTACCCACTAGATATTAAAAATCTGTATTTTATTTTGGCAAGTAATGCACAATAAAAAATAATGCCATGTTCCTCTGAGTAATAAAACCATGCATATTGAGAGTGTAGCTCAGGGTCCCGCTCACAAAAGAAAAAAAAAGTGCCATGTGAACCAAACCAAGCAAGGTGGTAAGCGACCATTTTACAACCCCTAGTGGATAATGATGGGGGCGGGGGCGGGGGCGGTCAGGGCCACCTGGATCCATGGCCGCCACAAAAGCATGAACCCACCAGATTGTTCCAAAAGCCAAAATCTCTCTCCATCTCCAAAGCCCCTGTCCTGGTTCAGGCCACTTTGTGTTTTTCCTGGTCATTTTAAACTTCTTTTTTGGTAACTCTCTGGATTAAGGTAATAGTGGCAACACCTATACCCAATAATCATTACCAATAGCCACATAATACTCCATGGATTGAATACAGAAAGGCAGGAGGGCCTACCAGGAAGACTGCCACCCTCGTGGTTGGCTCGCGTTCCAGTTCCAGATCTAGTTCTGTGAGAGCTTGGGCAGACGAGAGAGTGAAGAAATTCAAACACCACACCCCGTCTCCTTGGTGAGGTCAAATCAGCCATGCAGATTCTTCAATGGCCAGTTGGAAAAGCAGGACCCCAACCTTAAGGTCCACTCGCAAGGTAATGGAACGATGGATGTCACCGTTGGCTCTAGAAGACATCTCTGTGCCTCAGCATCTTCATGAGTGGAATAATTTATTGTGAAATTCAAGTAAGTTTATTGTGAAAATCAAAAGATAAAGTGAAAGCTATTATTACATTGTATCTAGGTTTAAGGCAGCACACTTTTTATCAACATTATTGTCATAGAGTACCTTTCCTCTTAAGAACGCCAAGTATGGGGTGCTTCTGTATGATATCACTTATATGTGGAATCTAAAAAATGAAACAAGCTAGTGAATATGACAAAAAAGATACAGACTCACAGATAAAGAGAACAAACTAGTGGTTACCAGTGGGGAGAGGGAAAGGAGAGGGGCAAGGTAGGGGTAGGGGATTAAGAGACACAAACTATTATGTATAAAATAAACAAGCTACAAGGATGTATTATACAACAGAGGGAATATAGTCAGTATTTTGTAATAACTATAAATGGAATATAACCTTTAAAAATTGTGAATCGCTATGTTGTATATAATATTGGACATCAAATATACTTCAATTTAAAAAAAAGAAACAGAAAAATGAGGTGCTTTTATTTTGCAGGCAGAAAAATAGAAGATCAAGAAGTTGCAGTGGGGCTGAGACTGAAAAACTCCTTGGGGCTTCTCAGATCAAGCAGCCATTCTCTCAGCTCAGCCAGGTTGCCGTCAAGGTCTTAAGGGCACCTGAGGCCCCAAGTCTCCAGATTTACCCCAGTTCAGAATCAGAAGGAAAGTGAAGTGTTCCTTCCTCAGAAGTGCTTCATGGAGGAGAGTCCATGATGTCCTGTTTCAGAGTCACTCAGGACACTAGTTACAAATGCAGATTCCTGGGCCCTGCCCCGGGAATATATTGAATTTGAATGACTGGGATTTGGTATTTTTATAACTGTCCCCCAGATGACTCTGATGCAGTCTAACATTTTAGAATCAGTTTCTCCTGATATTGGATCACCCTTTTATGGCAAGACCATCCACCGGAAGGCTGAATCCACAGCGTGTCTTAATCCAGAGAACCTCCCTCCGGGCAACATTCTTTCAGCAGCTTGTAAGACACCACAAGCTGTCAAAATGGGCAGTATGGATAAGGATATCACTGATGGCATTTTGGATTTTAGAAGGGGGGAAGGGTCCAAACCCCATTTGCCAAAGAATGGTTGCTGCAACAAAGGGCTGAGCGAGAGGTTAGTAATGCAGCAATGGCCACAATTATGTTCCACCCAGACAGATGCTGCCCAAGCCCATGACTTACACCCCAGTCATGGGTTTGACTTTTGCGGGATCTCTGATCTGGCATTTTCTAAGACCAGATCACTTTCCCTGTGTCTGAGGGTTAACGGGATATTTATAAACAATGCCCATAAAATGGCATCTTGGGGTATAGAAACTCTTGATCCCAGGGTCAGCTTAGCCACACTGCTAATTTAAGTCCCTGTCCCTCGGTTTCTTTAGGAGCAAAACAGAAACTCTGTCGCTGCCCTGCCTCGAAGGGGCATGGCCAGGAGAAAGAGGCAGGATTTGCAGAAAGCTGACTGGTGCAGAGGAGAAACCTCAGCCCACCCTCAGATGCCCCCGTGTGAACACACGCTCTGGGGTTTAGGTGCGTCCCTCGTCTGAATCTCAAATGGATTCACCTGCCATGGCTCATACTCTGGGTCTTGCGGGGCAGCACACCCAGGGAAAGACCCGGAGGGAAGCCAGCTGCCCCTTCTAATCCTACACAAGACCTTCCGGCACTTCAGCACTAGGCCTCTTCGCTGCTCCCCTCCTTTATCAGACTCCAACTCTGCAGCCTTGCCCCTGACTCGGTGCCTTTAGCCCACGGTGGTCCACTGCCAACACTGCTGCCACCCACCGGAGCCTCCGTACCTGCCCCCAAGGCAACCAGCTAACACGCCCCTTCTCCCCGCCTTCAGCATTTCCCCCTCACGTGGTCCTGGGTTGTTTCTTCATTTCTCCTTTACTTCTTTCAAAGCAGCCTTGAAATTCTTAGTGGCTTAAAAAAAGAGGCAAGAGAGAAAAAGAGATCAGGATGATTCAAGAAAGACCTACACTCAAAATCCTCAGAATCTAAAGTCTTTAGTGAGGCCTCTAAATATTTGGATTCTCCAATGTCTGAATTTTAAGTAGAAGTCTCAGATTAATGGAAAGACTCCAATATAACTAATGATGGCTGAGAATGTTAGCAAGGCAAAATGGAGAAACTGAAATCAGTTTCTCTGGATTGCATTTGAAAGACATGTGTAGATAATCCAGATCGACCTCTGAAAGCCACTCAAAGGCTGAGAAAAGGCAAACCAAGCTGAGAGAAAATTAGAATTGATGAGGAATTAATTTCAGTTAGGTTAAACTTATGTCTTGGTAAAGTGATTTATGCATACTTACTGGTATATTGGCCCTTCGCAAAACCATAACTGTCACGTACTGAGCATTGTCTTGGCCATTGGTTAAGTCTTGTAAGACTTATCTAGTTTAATCTTGACAACAACCCCATGAGTTAAGTATTAATTTCTCAGATTTATAGTTGGGGGCATTGAGGGTCAAAGAAGTGAAATAACTTGCCCAAGTTCACAACACATGGCAGAGCTGGGATTCCAGGCTGGGTCTGTCTCATTCTAATCAGTGACCTCAAGAATAGTGGAGCTGAAGGAACACTGGACTGCTATCAAAGACCTTGTTATGGTCCCAGCTCTACCATTAACTAACAGTGTGTCCTGGCACAAGTGGCTGGTCCTCAGGGCTCTAATTTCCTCATCTGTAAAATATGGGCCTCACAGTAGATGGTCTCTAATATCCTTTCTAAGTCTGACAGTATCTAATTACGCTCCGCTCTATCACATTATCACATTAACGGCCTTCTACCACTTTCTTTGGATTTTATGATACATAGGTAGTCATAACGATAACTTACGGGATGCTCAGTCCTTGATCTCCTCCGCCTCCCAATTACAGCACTGTTCTTACGGGTAAAATACAATCTGCCTGACCAGTGTCTGCTTTACCGCAGCCCACGCTGTGATGCGGATCCCAGGGCACAATGCGGCAGAGGCGAGGGACTGCCTGTCAGAATCTCCAGAGATAAAAGCAGTAACATTTGCTTGTTGTGCTGTTCTGTCTTCTCATTATTTACAGTCTTATGAGCCTCCATAAAGGGGAAAACCTGAAAGCTGACTACACATAAATTATAAGAATAATGTTGATTGTTGTTGACTGTTTATAATGACAAAGTCTTAGAAGATGCAAGGAAATCCACACAGATGGGTTAGGACCACACATCTGGCCCCAAGGAGATTCATGAGCCTCATCTCCAGGTCACACATTGTCTGGCGAAAGAGAGTCATCACGCATGACACTTTTGGGGTTCAGCCAACCTTGGAGCTGGATGAAATAAAGAACATGGCCACAGGGGCAGATCAGCAGAAGAAAGCCTCGGGTTATAGTCTAGATTCCAACTTCAGGGTGGACCCTAATTGTTGGTGGGTAATGAGCAGGTAGGGACTGGATTTCAAAAATAGGGTTCCACATTTTTGAGGTACAGAAGCAGATCTGCCACATGTTCTTCAGCACTTTCTTGTTTCAAATCAAATACACATATGCTACGATACAGCATTTCCAAGAAATATCCTGAACCAGAATCTCCAAGAAGTCTGCCTGCTAGGTTGCTGCTGAAAAAAACCAGCAGTAATAAGAACATTTGTGGGCATCTCCTTGTTTGCAAAGAGCTTCCACACTTTGGTCCTCATAACATCCCCAAGAGTCACTGAGGCTCCAAAGAACTTACGTAACTTGCTCAAGTCTGGGATTTGAACCCAGGTCTCCTGACTTCAGAGCTTTTCTCTATGCTATGTATCTCTGAATAATAAGATATTTTCCCAAAAGGAAAAATAACTTGTTATTTTTAAAACAAAATAAGGAGAAGAAAAACGTCTACGTACTTTGAAGGCAAGATCACTACTGGCCATTTGTCACAGTTGACTTGCTCTTTTTCATAAACAAGAGGCAGCAGAGTCAAAGGAAAAGACCACATGATACCCAACAAAACGAACACGATACTTTTTAATGCTTTCGAGAAAGAAGGACAAACAAGAAAAAAAAAAAGCACTATCAAGATAGCCTATGACAGAGGATCATTGCCTAAGCAAACTTCCTCTTTGCTGCAGGCTTTTTCTATCATAATTTTGCGACTAAATTGTTCGCATGTGCTGCCAATATATGATTGTAATTATAATTTAAAAACAAAGGCAATTCTATGTTTCTTCCCCTTTCTGAAAAAAAAACACAACAAAATAGCCTATGAGAAATGCAAAAGATAATTCCCCGTGTTTCTAAATTTGGATGCTTTTCAGATGCTGTCACCACCAGCACCATGAGGATCGTTGATCGGGTTGAACATGGCCAGCGGTGAGGCCAACAGGAGGCAGATCAGGGTCCCCGCTGGCTCCACGAGAAGCTGAATCAAACAGGACCGGAGGCCCCCTAACACAGCCTTAGCCAAATCTTGGGTAACTTCTACATTAAACGGCAACCTCTCAAACGTGCAGAATGACATTCTCCTTGATTATGGGGCTGATAACGGATTTGGGCTTGTTTTCTAAAGATATGCCCTTCATGTACACTCAGTGAGATACTACTAATAAATAAACACAAGAGCCAAAAACTATATTAGCATATTATGGTTTGCAAAGCACCCCCAGCCCCCTGCATTTGAACCATAAAACACCCCTCTGGATACAGGCTGGGGGATTAACATCATCCCCATTACACTGATGAAGAAACTGAGGCTCACAGTTTATATGATTTCCCTAAACTCACAAAACTACTAAATAGAAAAGGAGAAATATGAACCCCAAACTTCTGCCTTCATATTTCATGTCACTTCCATGATACCAGCCACTGATGAAGGCTCCTTGATTAATGGAGTAAGTTTTCTACCATCACACGTTTACCTTCTGCCATGGCAGACTGCCGCCAGAGATCTGAGGAGCGGCACCAGGCATCTGGTCACATCAGCTCTGTCGGGCAGATGTAAGCAGGGAGTCTCGTCGTCAGCCACCCAGGCTCCGAGGTGACTTGTAAACAGCAAAACCAACATCCCTTATTCAGCCGTTGGTGTCTCAGAATAAAAAGGCTGTGAGACAGACTTATTCATAGGCTTATAGCCTCATGGGTACTGTAGATTAGGAGGCTACGATGCTGGGCATCTGTCTGTCCCGAGGATCCAAGTGCTGAAGCCACAGCAGTTCAGGAAAACACTGCCAGCGAAGTTGACTGAGGCAAAAAT